GGTGGAGGGGGGCGGAGAAGGGGTTTAAAAAAAAAAGGACATCTCGGTTCCAAGCAAATTTTTAAAGGTCAGAGGCAACTTTGGGAGCCACCATTTTATCAGTCCTAAATCTTTTGAAGTGAAAACATTAAAGTGACAAAGTGATTCTGTTTGTTTTATAGTATCTAATTGGGCTGCTTTGCAGACCTAATGAGATTAGAGGGGGGCGTCGTTCGCCGCCGCTGCAGAATGCACCGATACGTTACCAGCAGCCACAGGTTTTGAGGCTTGCACTGCCTGCCTTTTTCCCCCTTTTGTTGTTATTCCTGTCTTCTCTTTTTCCTCCTCCCACCCAATAATTATTTGCTAGTAGATCGTGGGAAAAAAAGAGGAAAGAAAAAAAAAAACTCGGGCAGCTCAGGACTATAATATATATCTATTTATTATATGTCTTTCGGTTAATTCCTGATCTGAGGAGCGCTGTTTTTCACTCCCCGGCGAAAGTCACCAGCGGGTAGGGCCTGATTGCTACTTTTCATGCATAGTTTTAGACACAAGAGGGCATTGTGACGTCGCGCCCGGCGGCGCCCAGTCGCAGGCCGAGGCCCGCGGGCCCACGTGGGGGCCCCGCGCTCCCATTGGCCAGCGCCAAGCCAAGCTGCCACATTATTTTGTTACTTTTCAGTCCCTATTTGGAACTGCTCTCGCGGCGGTTCAGACCTCGTGCGCGTCCCCCTCGCCTGTCTGTGTGTGGCATCCGCAGGTCCGGGGCACTTTTTTGGGGTGTGTGTGTGTGGGTCTGTGTGTGTGTGTGTGTTGGGGGGTGTATTTGGGGGGTTTGGTCGGGGCGCGGAGAGGAGCGCCGGGCCGAGGGGAAGGAAGGAAGCTGCAGAGCTCCCCGGCCTCGGCTGCGTCTCCTGCGGCGCTCTCCAGCCTGCGCGCTCCGAGGCGGTCGCGGCGGTGTCGCCCAGCGCTCCTCGCCGGGGACGCGGCGCTGGAGCTGGGAGCCGCGAGGACCTTCGGCGGAGGCGCCCCGTGCCCGCTGGAGCCAGGATGTCAGGACGGCTGATCTGCACCTCCTGAGCCCGGAATTCCTCCCCGGCCCTGGGAAGGGCTCGCAGCGGCGGCGGCAGCAGACGGAACAGCAGGCTCTGCTCTCCGAGGGGGGGCGTCGAAGCGCCCGGCGCCCGCCCTCACCCCCCGGCGCTCCCGCGGCCCCAAGCCGCCACCTCGTTCGTTGCCCGCCTCCTTCCTTTTCTCGGGCCCGACCGCCTCTGGAATCGGACCCGCGCGCTCCGGATGCTCGGGACTGCCCCGGCGCGCCCCCCTCCCGGCGCGGCGCGCTGAGTGATTCTCGAGGGCCCCCAGCTTGCCCCAGGAGGGGCCCCTGGCCTCTGGACCCCGCACCGGGCCCGCCGGGGAGTCGACGATGTCCGCGCGGCCCCGGGCCCTGACGCGCTCCACGCAGCCCGGGGACGGCGGCCGGCCACAGCGCGCCCAGCCCTAGGCGCACAAAGCCCGCGCCCGCCGCCGGGCCTTGGCGCCCGCAACCACTTTGCCGCCTGCTCCGCGGCTCTTTGTCTCCGCTGGGGGTGGGCGCCCGACTCTGGGACTCCGCTGCGAGAGCGGGCTGGGGGCGCCGGG